CATTTAATTAATGAGTCGAACTCGACTCGTTAAGGATCGTTAAAATTGACAAATAGGATTTCTTACATAATATTCTAAACTCTTAACATAACTCAGCAAGTTAAGGCCGAGTCGAGCTCAGCTTGATAAGGACTTGAACCGAAACGCAGGTATCGTGGCTCAAACTCGATTCAGTTCGTTAACAACTCTAATACAAAGGCGTAACGATATGATTCACTTGAGAGTATTATATTTGATCAATCATATATATAGTAGTAATTATATAGACAACAATAATAGTAACATAAAGTTTGTCTAGAAACGTGTTTGATTAAAGTTGACCAATGCTAACCCACTAATTCTTTCTATCTTAAAGCGCGACTTTCGTTTTGATTCCGTAGAATTTAAGAATTTGCGATTGATCACTTTCGGAATCTTGGTGATCTTTAATTTATGTTTTTTTTTTTTTACATGGAAATAAATAAATAACAAATTGGACTGTATAGAAGAATTTTATTTCACAGTTATATATATGTTTTATAATTATATATATGTTTTACTATTGAAATTTGACTATCACATGTACATCCAATATGTCTAGTAAATTATTCAATATGGGACTAAAAGAAAATACATGGGAGCAGGCCTAACTCATTATTACCACAATTACTGATGAATAAATTTAAGACAGCTAAAGCTCATTAATAATTAGTAGCACTAATGTATACTATAAAATATCATTTATTCATATTGCATTTCTCTTAGTTCTGTCCATTGCTCATTAATATGTAACTTGTACAACACCCGTGTACACGGGTGCTTGTTAAAAATATTACTAAATTTTAAAATTAATGATAAAAAATATTATAAAATTTATTTACTATTTTTACAAAAATATATATTATTATATATTTTATAACGACACTTGTTACTCGTGCGACTTAAAAGTATTATATTATAATAATTTTTATAACTTATATCATACAACTACTTGAAATATAAATATATTAATTGATAAATAATTTTATTTTTCTAATTAATATAAAAAAACAATTTTACTATTGTTATAACGATAAATATATATATACAATATAGATGTTAAATCGAAACTCATCAAGCGATGATGATTAATTTGATATATTATATACGTAAAACTGATAAAAAATACAAAAGTTATTAATTTCTGAAGTACATTTACAATTCAATGGTTTATAATAAGAAATTATATTAAAAGGCAATTAATACATGTAACATGACAATAAATAATCAACATATTTATGGATAATCCAAAGCTAATTATTTTTGGATTAGAGTAATTAAAATCTACCCAAGCTAATAACGAATAATGTAATTTTGTCACATAAGATCACAAAACATGCGAGTCTGCCACTTAAGTTTAACACGTTCTGAATTCATATATAGAGGATTATATTTTGGACGTAAGAACATTGAACTTCAAATCAACTCATACCTCAAATTTGAACTTGATGGTTTCAATTATTAGACTGATTCTATTAATTTTTCCAAATTACAATTTTTCATATTCACTAAAAAAAAATAAAAAAAAAAATTTGGTGAACCTTTAGTTGATCCAAATTTCCATCTATAACCAAATTATTTTATCTTTTTTTATTTCCCATTTAGACTTGAAAAGTTCACACCAAAAAAAAAAAATGTAATTAAGGTAAAAATTCTCATATATATATTTTTTTCCACATTAATTTGCCATTAATTTGTTAAAGACGCTTGATATATTAACAAAATGATTTAAAAAATTATGCCAATGAAAATACACATAACAAACATCCACAACTTTATCACTATAACATTACCAAAATCAATAATTCATATCTTATCAATACATATTTCAGTTGGTAATCTAATTTGACAAAATAGATTAAATACTTTTCAATGAAATTTTGTTGCATAGATAATCTGGAAAAAGTAAATTAACTCTTTCGCTCAATAATTGGGACACAAAATGAATATTTGTTAAATATCAATATATATTTTTTTGTAACATTTATTTTGTTAAAATATGAATAAATATATTTTGGGGGAGAAAAGAAAAAAAACATTTAATTTATTCAACTCTTTTACTGATCATCAAACACACAATTTTATCGTGCTTGGAAATTACTCTCTTGTTTTTCAGCAGAGTATATATATATATATATAGATACAGACAAAATAAAGAACAACACAACATAAAGAATATGGACAGGTTTCAATAGATGATAAATTTTTGCATGTCAATCATACATATCCTTTTTTTTATTATAATTATTATGCATGTATCTAGAAAAGAATATATATATATATGTGTGTGTGTGTGTGTGTGTGTGTGTGCGCCATATAAATAAGCAAGAACTCATCACCTGAGAGATCATAAAGAACACATATGGGGTGTGCAATTCGATCGATAACCGGTGTTGTTGGTGAGCGATTGAAGCTGCTAGATGACCTGATGATCACGACTCGATTTTTCGAAAGCATATAATAATAAAAATATTTAATTTGTATTTACATAGAAAGCATTTGATTAAAAAAATTAACTTGAATTTACATAAGGTAGATATATATGGGCCTCTCATAAATCATTTCTTGTCGATTGAGAGATCCAAAGATAAATCAAATCTTACATTTTCTTTTTTTGGTATAACACAAAATTAAGATCAAGATTCTTGAAAGGTGATTATCGTGAAAAAATAAATAAATAAAAAAATAACAATAGCTAGCCATCAAATTAAAGTTAATTAATTACCAGATCATGCTGGCAGCTTCAACCTCTCAGACCAACACACAAGAGTAAATAGAAGGAATGTCTGGGGCCAATCTGCAAATATATATTTTTTTTTTTTTTTCCTATGAAGAAAGCTTATTGTGATATCAACAGGAGCCATGCATATATAATACAGATTATATATATTGTTGAGGGCTTTAATGGCTGTTCTATAATTTCTAGGAAAATAAATAAATAAAAACTATATATTGTGGCCTATTATTACAGCTATTGACACTGACTTGTTTGCCTGTCCAAACCCCTTCTTCTCCCTTCAAATAGGATAATCTCATATATATGAGGAGAAAATTTTTATTCTATTACATTTTTTTAAAAATTAAAATAAATTAAGGAGCTGGCTGGCTAACACAGGACCACTCTTATATTGGCATGTACCTAATTAATTTAGTCACTTTTGCTATGGAGTCATCAGATGACTCGACTTATAGAACCATCCACACTTAATTATCAATAGTGTATTGACACGTGTTCTAAAATAAATACACTTTGGACAGGTATCAATACATTAAGTGTTGGATAGCTCCATAAGAAAACCATCTGATGGCTCCATAGAATTGTTGTTAATTTAGTCCTCAACGAGCTATATATAAATATATATATATATATATATATATATAGTATTTATTTATCAATAAAGATAAAAGGTACATTTTTTCCGGTGAATTAAAAATAATTGAGGCTGGAAAAAAAAAAAAAGGTTGAGGAGTTTACTGATTTTGTTTTTTATCTTTGGCTTTGGATTTAAGGATTTGTCAATGAGTGACAAACATTGAAATAAAAAAAGATGAGAAATGCTATAGTCCCGTTACGAAACCATACCGTCAGCATTTGTAACCGTTAGATCATCATGTAACCGTCATGAATAGTTGATCTAACGATTACAAACTTTGATGGAATAGTTTCGTAACGGAACCGTAAAATCTCCTAAAAAAAGACAACGGCTGCCCTAAACGAAAGGAAAGGAAAGGACCACAATATTTTTTTATTGCATAAAAATTAACTGTAATTTGATTAATGGATAGGGTCACATGGTTTTGTCTTGTAATTTGGCTTAATGGCTTTCTTATGTCCATGTGATTAGTGTTTGGTGCATTGTTGGTGATTGTCATATAGACAAACTTTTTCTATATCATAAGGCTGCTATAAGACATTTAACTACTAATATTATTCATTTTTTTTTATAATTAAATATTACACTTTATGAAATATTCTAAATAAAAATATAACATTTGATAGTCAAACATGTGGACCACCTCACACTTTTGTTTACAAGGTTTAACATAGCTAACCCTTAGATTGTCTTACAACAATTTTTTTTTTTTTTTTTTTTNNTTTCATATATATTTTCATGAAAAAAAAAAATCAACATTCCAATTTTATTTATGTACTTGATTCTATATTCTTTTAACGTAATATTGTTGTCCGGAACTACTCATCATCTACCCATCGTGAGCATATTACAATATTTTTATCAGTCACATATCAATATCTTGTAATCTATCAACCGTATATTTTCCCCAGGTGGATATACACCTTTCTTAAGTAAGCTGATCTCTCGTGATCTTTCGACCATACTAATTTCATGTCCCCAATAGCATGGTGGACATGAGGAAGGACTGTATTTTCGGTTATTGCTAAAAGAGGTTTTGTAAGTACTTAATTATCTCAGCTATACTGTCCTCTGTAATTGAACAAAATAAGCAAAATACAAGTAGTTATTGTTTAGAAAAGCAAATGGTTCTTTGATAAAGTTAGCTAAATCCAAAATTGGGGACACATTGAAAGTGGGACAGCAAAATTGATTATTCAGTGCAGAAAAATTGTCTCTATTTGATTCATGTGGCTTACTAATCGCCCGTGAGTTTATAGACAATCTCTACACATCTAAGGGCCAAAAATGCAGGTCATTGTACAACGTTGTTTGATTTTTCACTCTCATGTTAGGTATATACCTTCAATTTTTTTTAATTTTTTTTTTTTATATTTTGCTTTTTTGAATTTTAAGAAAGACTACGAAGCCATGCACTTGTTAGGGCCCTTAACTCATTCCCGTATAAGTGGGCCAAATTATACGCAAACATTATGCTGAGGAACTATACAATAATTATGGGCCGGCCCAGGAAAGCCTTTCTAACATCAAACACAGTTTGGTGGGAAATTGCTACATTGTTTGTACTGAGAATTAGCCAAGCATGTCAAAGAATATTTTGAGAAAGAACTAATCACCTTCAGTTTCTACTTTGGGCCAGCCTTGCTCGGCTTGTGACTTCACAAACTCAGCCAGTAGTTTAATCTCGTTTTCGCCTAGTCGAGGCCCGAACGTGCATTGACCTCTAGGCGTGCAATTCTCGCCAAATCCCTGCATCAATGTGGCATCTTATGTTTCAATGCACTTTAAAAAAACCATAATAATAATAAAATAAAATGAAAGGTAGATAAATTATTGTTGATATGAAACTTACCGGCATTCTTCCTTTCCCGTAGTACGTAATCTGATATATCTCCTCTTCAGTTTCAACTCCATTTCTGCAGAAATATAGGTTGTGTTGGTAAGCATATAAGCTAGTTTATAGCCTATTTGATTAGCTTATGAGCTTCTTGTATTCAAATAAACTTGGTTTTGTAGAACGAGCTTTTTTAAAAAAAACTCGAGCTTATCTCATCAGCTTCCTTGAGTAGCTTTTCAAATAAGCCCATTGAAATTTTTATTTCAGCTACCTTATCAAGCTAATTTTAAGTATAAGCTAGCTTTGTCAACTATAAGTAATACGATATCAGTTATAAACTCCAAATTAACTTAAAAGCCATAAGCAAGCTTCTTAGCTAGGTTTGCCAAACACAGCCATAGAACTCGTTTCAAGCGTGGTATGTTTGTGGAGTTTTGACTCAATGTAATCCTTTTACGAATTATCTATTCAAGTCTGTTTTTTTTATTGATACAGAACTACCAAACAAGTACACACACAAGAAGAAAAAAAAAAAAAAAAGGCGAAGGAAAAGCAAAGCAAATAAAAGGCAGCTATATAAGTAGTCTTGTTACCTCTGTAGGTCCTTAAGAGAGAGTGTTGCACCCTTGAAATACAATGGAGTTAGTTCAGTAGCTACCCAGAAATTGAAAAGAATTTTAGTTGTGTATATTGTATATATATAAAATATATGCTAACGGGTTGTATTATATTTCCTCCAGCATCATGGCATCCTATGCAAGCCCGTCGAAACAAAGTGGCTCCTTTCTGAGCATCTAAAGTTTGCCCTAACGACACTGCATAATAGGAAGTAAGAAATCGAGACATCAATTACAGATTACAGAAAACGACTTGTGCTTTTCTGTAGTCTTTGTATCTAATCCAACACTGGAAAAGTATGTAAGACACAGAGATTTCAGGTTGTTGGATGTTCACAGCTGAACGAAAACGCAACAGATAAATTTACTCTTCTGAAAATTTAGAGATAGAAAATGAAATGCAGAGGAAATAAAACGAATCGAAAGCAAATTAGCTACTAATAAGTAAGAATCAGACTGTTGAAAAAACTCTAAAACCCTGATTTTCCAGAAGAAAATCCATTGTCCAAGAACCTCAAATGAACACAGAACACGTTCCATATAGGCTCAGTTTGGGAAGATCTTGTTGGAAAATTTATGAATGACATTTGTAACATAAGGATGAATTTGATTCGGTTTTTCCGTTGTATCCTGAGAAACAGACACTCATATGGGGCAAATCTATTTTAAGGACACTGTGTTTTCATAGGCCTCGGTATTATATATTTTAGCCATCTTATTATATTTTCCCGATAAAGTTCCCTACAAATCTTTTGCCATCACAAATCTAATTTGTGACAGTAAAAGATAAAACAGTGAAGCTCAGCTCAGCTCAGTAATCAATTAGAATCCCTAATTTCGAACAGATTATAGAGGATAAGGGATCGATTTACCAGGAGTGTGAAAAATAGGAGATAAGGCTATAGCAGCAGCCATTAATGGCGGGGCCAAGATTCTCAACAGCTTCGTCTGTTGCTTGTGCCATTTGCTATCGCGCTCGTTCAATATCTGTGTTCTCCTTCGATCAAAAACCTAGAAATTATCGAAATTAAATATGCGTCTCGTAGGTAATTTAACGATAATGAGCGATGGCAAAGAACCTGCGGTGAGAGGGGCGGAGTGCAGCTTGGTGCCATGGAAATCAGCTGCATTTTTTCCTTTTATTATTACTATTATTTCCCGATGTAAATTTAATTTTGGGCGATTTTATATAAGAAAAAAAAATCAGCATAAAAAAATATAAAAAAAATCAATTATATAGTGTGTTTAGACTAATGTTAACAATTATTTGAGTTTAACTATCTCAATTGTAAATATATCAACAAAAAAATTCAATCCCAACTCAAAATATAACTAAATTTTAAATTTTTTAACTCAACTTTACTATCTATAATATTATAAATATAATTAAATAATATCAATCAACCATTTTTACATGTTCACTATTGATCCACTTATATAATTTTACTATAAATATTATAAATATAATTAAATAATATCAATCAATCATTCTTACATATCAGATAAATTAATTCACTATTGATCCACTTATATAATTTTACTTTAATTACCCGTCACATAAACATAATTTTTTTCATATTCTTATATCAAATCAACTTTAATTATTTTGTTTTAAATATTATTTTAATATCCCATTAAAAACTAATCAAATCATTTTTTAAGAATTAACCATGGCTAAACAAGAGGGCAAATAAAAAATCGATTTATTTGTATACAAACAAGCCCTAACAAACCAAACTCGAATCTTAAGGAACCGAACAACAAAAAATAATATAATAAAAATTACTTATTGAGAGCTCATTTCAGTTAAACAGCAATATTCTTCATCACAACTGAAAAAACATCAATACATTCAAACAACACTCCTCTCAACCACCACCAGTTTTGCATCAGAAGTTGCACTCTCCATTCACTATAATGTGCAAGCAAATAACACAACAACAAAAGGGGGGAAAGGATTAACAACTTATGAGATGTTCAGCAAATACAGAAAAAAGGTTCAAGTAGCATTATTCTGGGACAGTACACACATTAAAGTTTACTTAGAAAACCTATCCCTGTCGTGTGGAGCAGTATAGTCGATATTCGGGCCGTGAGGAATAATCCCAAAAGGATTAATCGATGGGTGGCTTCCATAGTAATGCTTCTTAATGTGCTCCATGTGAACTGTACTGCTAACTCCCGGGATTTGGAATATGTCTTTCGTGTAATTGAAGATATTAGGATACTCGCGTAGCAAATGCTTATTGCATTTGAAATGAACCACATAAACCTATAACAACAAGACACGAAAAAATTTCCAGTAAAATTCATCTTTGACACTAATTGAGAGTTTTTTTTTTCTGTATTTTGATTAAAAAAAAAAATGGTTACACAAATTAGTACCTCGTCAAATCTTATGAGAGTAACAAACAGGCGGATATCTGCCTCGGTTAGTGTGTCGCCACACAAATATCGTTGCTTGCTGAGTATCTCTTCGCATTTGTCCAAAGCTTCGTACAATTTCGTTACAGCCTTAGAAAGAAAATGGAGATTAATAGCAACATGGCACATTAAATCAAAGTTCTTAAAAAGCAATTAAGGACATGCTTTTGAAAAACGGAAGGTAAACTTAGTTATATTATTATTATTATACCTCGTTGTAAGGTTCTTGTTTTTTGGCGAACCCACATTTATAAACGCCGTTATTGATCCCATCATATATCCAATCGTTTACTTCATTGATTTGGGCTTGCAAGTGAGGAGGATAAAGGTCCAACGAAGCATTTTCTGCTATGTCGTTGAATTCGGTATTTAACATGCGGATTATCTCTGCACTCTCGTTGTTCACAATCGTTGTCTGCTTTTTATCCCAAAGAATCTAACAGACAGAACAGAAACTGTTTATTCAAAACTTTACAGCTGCCAAAAAATATAAGAGATAGTTTTAAAGCTAAATAGAGGAGATGTAGGCTAATTGTTTCATTTTCACACACACGCACAGAAAAGAAAATTCATTTTCCATCAAAATTTACGAATACTGAGGTGACACATATTCCTAAAATGAAGACAAAACTCAAGATTTATAGAGTTAGATTTTGAAGATCACTAAACCCAAGCAATGGTTTTTTTTTTTTTTTTGTATTAACTTATTATCACTGCATTTACTTTCATGGGGTGGAACCTACCGGAACTGTGTATTTTCCCGAGTAATTTGTGCTAGCAAGCTCGTACAATTGTCGTATGTTTTCCGCTCCATTTAAGGTATCTGGCTCGGCACCCTGTTCTTCAGTATCCGAATCAGGGAAAACCCATCCCATGTGCTCGTCTGTCTCCTTTGTGCGCCCCCATATCGGTTTAACCGACTGTCATAAGATGAAAGATACAACTAACTATGAGCATAAATCAAAATCCCATGTTCGGCATTTTCGTTTTATTATCTGTATTAAAAAAGATAGGAACTTTACATTGAAACTGATAGCTTTTTCAAGCCTTTTGAACTAACTATAAGCCAAAATAAAAATCCCATATTTAGCATTTTCTTTTCATCCTCTTTTTAAAAAGAGAGGAACTTTACACTGAAACTGATAGCTTTGTTGATCCCTGTGAACTAACTATAAGCCATAAATCAAAATCCCATATTTGGCATTTTCATTTCATAATCTATTTGAAAAGACAGGAACTTTACACTGAAACTGATAGCTTTGTAGAGCCCTTTGAACTAACTATAAGCCAAAATCAAAATCCCATTTTTGACATATTCATTTCATTATGTATATTTAAAAGGAGAGGAACTTTACACTGAAACTGATAGCTTTGTCGAGCCCTTTGATTTTAAGGTACGCGAGGCACCTTGATGCCCAAGGACAAGCATACGACACGTACAGATGGTATCTTCCGGGCTCAGCTGGGAAAGGAGAATTGGGCTCCCTTGAAATTAAGTTACGAAAAGTCGATGGGGTCCTAACAAAGGCCCCGGTAGCCGACATCTCATCCAGAGCCGAACGAGCCATTGGAATAACGTTCTGAGATTTTAGTTGAAAAGGGTTTGGTATAAAAACACATAATATAAGCACTTTACAAACTTACTCGTGAACTGATAATCTACAGTCAAGCACGAATCTTTGGAGAAAGACAATCAATGTTCAGCTAACTGCTGTTTGCACATCAAAATATGAAGCTTCATAGATCACAGGCTTTGTTTCTGTTTTCAATTTTGAGTATTATAGCTTAATTTTTCATTTTCTTGCCTTCGTTTCCAGTTGACCCCAGAACAAATTATGATCCCCTTTTTGGTTCCGACAACCCCCCAACAAAAATGAGCTCATGAAAACACTAAAAAATCTCATCTTTAATATAAAGCAATATCGCTTATTTCAGATCTTTGAAAAAAAAAATCAAAACGTTATAGAAATTAGAGACATACTCACATACATACAAGAGACTGTAACTAGAAAAAAAAAAA